ACTCGATAATATTCGTAGTTATCAAATAATTCATTTAAAGGTTTAAGACGCAAAGTTGGTACCTGATCCTCCACTTCTTTGTTTAGAGTACTTATAACGTTTAGAAACGCTTTTCCAGAAACATTTTCTACTATGGTGTCCCCCAAATAAATTCCATGGGTTACTTTTTTGGGTTTTATTTTTGGGATATATGCTATTTTTATCTTGGGATTTTCTATTCTCACATAGAACAATGATTCTGTTAGCGGAGATGATGTAATGGTTTCTGGAGAAAAAAAAGGGTATAGTATTTCTGATATGTCTAGATATTTGCGTAATCTATTTTTCTCTCAGAGGAAATCTGTTTGAAAAAATCATTACCTAATTGTGTGATTGGAAAATCGTTTGATACAATATGAATTACTTTATTTTCAAAAAGCGGTAAAGTGATTTCTCCAAAAGTATAAATAGGATATTCATTTAATTTTAATTATTTCATTTAATTTTAATATACGAGGTCTGTCCCAAAAGTATCCGACCTACCTCCATTTTTCGGCACTTGGCTTATTCTTCGTCATCCGGTTGGTGGCATCCTTCGAAGTAGTCTCCATTTGATTGAACAACACGCTCATATCGATGCTTCCACTTCCCAAAGCAGTCTTGAAAGTCAGTTATTGGAATCGCCTTTAGTGCATTCGTCGCATTGGTTTCAACAGTCTTCTTGTCGTCGAATCGGTGTCCTTTAAGCGGCATTTTCAATCGAGGAAATAGTCAAAAGTCGCAGGGAGCTACGTCGGGACTGTACGGAGGCTGGCGAAGCTGTACAACACTGTGTTTTGATAAATACTGCTGCACAAGGTTTGATGCATGCGCTGGAGCATTGTCGTGGTGAAGAAGCCAGTCACCGGTTTGCCAAAAGTGCGGTTGTTTTCTTTTAATTGCATCACGCAATCTTTTCAAAATTTCAACGTAGTACTCTTTGTTGATCGTCTGACCTGCAGGAGCATATTCGTGATGCACGACGCCTTCATAATCGAAAAAAACAATCAACATTGACTTGATTTTGCTCCGACTTTGACACAGACGTGCGGCCATTTTTAAACTGCTTATACCACTCTTTTATTTGTGTTTTGCCCATACACTCGTCTCCAAAGGCCTTTTGCAACATTTCAATAGTTTCTGCACAAGTTTTTTCAAGTTTAAAGCAAAACTTGATGCAAATTCGTTGCTCAACTTTTTCGGTCATTTTTAGCTACTTAAAAATCCGACGAACGTGAAAAAGACACTGTAAACAAATACACACTGCGTATGAACTATACGTCCTACTAGTGTCGGCGACCATATTATTATGGTTGACAGTGGTATTCTTTGATATAAAATTTTCTTTAATTATGTTTGGCCCTAAACCACCAGACAGTGTCTAACATAAAAGTTATATATGGAGTGCATTCGCAAAGCTTTACTTGAATGATAGGCATGCGACTATGTTTGTCGAGATTTACTGTTACCGATTGCACTTCTGCTTATTTTTATCTGGGTTTTTTGTGGCGATGGCAGGTGTGAAATCCGTGCAGACTCCTGGTGCACTTTGAGGGACCATCGGAATTTCCCTGATTATTTACTCGCCTTCTGTTGTTACTTGCAATGCATAATTCATTTATTAACAGTTGTCAAGGAGATGCTCTTTACAATAGCGACAGAATAGTGAGCCTGAAGATCATCTTCTCTCATCTTAGATCGACAACTTTGGCGACATGTCCAAAATTATTGCAAATTTAACAAACAATTTTTGCTTTATTTTCTGAATTACATTGGTAATTCGGAAAATAAAGCAAAAATTGTTTCGTTTTGTTTTTTCCAACAATTATTGGCCGATTAATGCTCATTCAATTAATGACCAGGCTTATCACACCATTGACAGATTATAGATGGCTTATTCTGATCATTGTTAGAATTACTACTTGTTCGAGAGCGCGCGGATGAAGAGAATGGATGAAAAATTCTAATATAACGCCACGAACAAGACACAGTTCATAAGTTGCACAGTACAAATTTATTTTATTCAGTTTGGTACATATAATTAAATTTCAGATGAAATGACGGAAATTATAAGCAACTTTTCGACGGTTTAACTCAGTGATTTTCTCGGCGGAAACTAACGGAAAAAGAAGCAGTGGCGAAGGCTGACTCGCCTTTTTATATAGCCTGGCGAGACAAAGCGCTTTCTCGCTAAATGTCAATGAGAAGGTTCTGAAATTAAAAATTTGAAGTGACCGGCAGGCGTCAAGAGCGATTGACCTCCTACGCGAAAAGGAGCCCTGTGATCATGTGCGAAGGAAAATCCGCAAGCGCGATTGGCAGCGAGATACGTTGTTAGTTGCTGAGGCGCACTCGCACGCTCTGTCTATCGTTAGACTTGAATTAGATAGCCATGTGTTTGTGTATGACATGGACTCACCTTCTTAAAGAAAGTATACACGCTAATAAACATTTGAATGTCATCGGTGCTTTCTAGAATTTTCTAGAAGTTCATATCATACACAAAGAACAACGAAATATTATTTGAAATATGACAGATAACGCAAATATAAGAGTCATGCAGATTACACTGCCGGCATGCAATATTGCGATTATCTTTTGATCTCAAACACTACTTGTTTTACAAAATTTATGACTAGATTTAAAACAAAGTTGACAAATAATACAATATTATTTCCTTGTATTTCATTAACAGGTTGATGAGCTCGAGAGTCGCGAAGCCGACATTTATCGGCGCTATGCCCGCGTTTTTTTACAAATTTGACATATTAAAATTTCAGTTCCTAAATTAGTTATTTTCCTGCAATTAAAGGCCGAATGCCTCTCCTTATAGCAAATGTGACACGTTTCGCGTAATTTATTAGTATCTGCTATTTTACCTATTGTGTTACTGTGCCCTTGTCGTAAATCTGTCATTAAGCGTAGCTCCCTTTCTACTCTCAAAGAATCAACTGAACGTTTAAATTTCTCGCTATTCTCCGTTCGATTTCCGGTTTTAGTCCTCTATTGAAATATGTAAACATATCCTTCTCTATTGGTAGTTTGATGTCTTGATTAGAGAGAAAATTTCCTGAATTTTTATGTGCTTTTACTATTTGTTTCCCCAGGATTTTAACTTTATTCGCGTAAATAACTACATCTTCTTCGTTCTTTTGATAGTGTTTGAGATCGGTAATTCGAAAGAAAAGCAAGAATTCTTTCAGTCGATCGACATTAATTGTCATTGAACGCATGCACAAATTGAGCTCGTGATTTCATCTCAAACATGATTTTAATCCTCGTTAAAATCATCAAATTCGTCGTTCTTTGTTCCTTTTAAAAACAATTCGTTACACGCAAACAAGTTGTCGTTACCGGCAACGGACAATCGAAGGTTCTAGAACAATTCAATTCGCACACGCGAGCGCCGCGCTCCGACGAATACGTCACGCGCTGTCACCAATCCCACGCACGGATCTTCTGTCGCGCATGACTGTTACGTTGAACGTCGCTAGAAAAGAATCCAAAGCGCCAATCAATTTTGTACACCTAATGCCACGTAATAATTACGATTGTGGCAAATTTTTATTGGATTTTTCCCAAAAGGGAAAGCTCAGGCCGAAAGCAATAAATGCTTCGATCTCGCCGTCCTCCT